TTTGACCATAGGTTGAAATTATAAACACCTTTGGATATACAACAGCTTTAATTTATCTTTATTTTTTTTTCCTTTTTTTTTTTGACAAAAAGAAATAGTTAGATTATGTGTTAATATCTGTGGTTGGTAGGAATGATCGAACTTTAGAGTCGAGTGCATTTCACTTATTGTCCAATGGGCAGCGTAATCACTACTGAGTCACATGAGGGATTGGTAATTTATCTTTATTTCTTGTTTATAGAGTTTATAGGAATTAATCTTTAGGTAAAAACTTTTCTTAAACCCCAAATTTATCCCAAAATAACATTTAAGCTTTTAAACTAAAAATGAAATAAATAAACCTTCAATACTACTAACGATACAAATAAGTTCTTCTCATTTATAAGTGTTTAGGCTTTCAAGGTGATATTAAACAAATCAGAATGATTTATTTGCATCATTAGGAGAGTTGGAGGCTTATTTACTTTGTTTTTAGTTTAAGAGATTAAATGTTATTTTAAGGTATATTTGAGGGCTTAAGAAGGGTTTTTGCCTAAGTTTTATAAAGAATATATATATATATATATAACTTCTTTGAATAAAAGCATATGACTTTTGTGACACGATAAATATATATTTTATCGTAAAATACACTCCACAACATTAGGGTTGGGATTTGATCCCTTCTCCTCAAATTGTAATCCATTTTTTTAAAAAAACTCCTTTGAATGAAAGAAAAAAGATGTTATCCTCAAGTAAAATATTTACTATCTTCATTCAATTTTAATTGTTTTAATTTTACTTTTTATATTTTTAAATATTAAAATTTTAATAAAAGTTATATGTGAGTAAATTTCTAACATATATGTATAGTTCTTATAAAGTAATTGCATTTGAAAAAAAAAATTAATTATTATTTATAGATTATGTTAAATTTTTATAAAATTAATAATAAAAAATTCAGTCTACATGAACCAAAAGGGCACGGATGTGATATAACCAAAGAGAATAAAAAATGGGCCAACCAAGTTTCTGCCCAGTGCTAAGGGTTAGTGTGGTGAGGCACTTTGGTTTGGGATTTAAATTTGACCACTAATAATAATAATTATTATTATTATTATTATTTAAATAGGAGAAATTAGTAAGAAAATGAGAGTAAGAATTGAGATTTGAATTCAGGTCATTATATCCACCACACACATTCAAGAAAGTGGTTATTAAGCCATCAAGAGTTGGACAACCACTAATATTATTTCTCTATCTTTTAATATGTAATTGTAATATAATTATTTTAAAAAAAAGGGAATAAAAAATAAGAAGACCTAAATCAGCACATCATATCGTATTATAGTTGAATGCCAACAACTAAATAGTTAAATGTTAATAATTTAATAATAATTTTTTTACTAAAATAAAAAATTTTAAATTTAATTATATGATTCATGAGTGACATTGATTAAAAAACATAAAATAATTATTTTTTATTATGTAATTTAAAATAATATATATATACAAATACAGTAATTAAATATAACCTCAATGGAAGAATGGCCTCATTGTAATTGTTAGCAGATAAAAGGGTAACTGCATGTACAGATGAAAAGGAGAGCACGAAGGTCATGAGAGGAAATGAATATGCCTTGTCCACCACCCAAATGTCGAGTTGAGAACTGGTTAACTCAATTAATCACACAAAAACTTTTCCTTAACTAACAAAAAAGAAAAAAAAAAAAAGTGATTTTTTGTAGTGGGTCACTTAAAAGTTAAAAAGTTAAAAAATTTTCATAAAAGCAAAATTTTGAGGGCATTAAGGATTTATTAATAACATTTGTCCGTACGTGTAATGATGTGTCCTTTGCCTCCCATTCAAACCCCT